ATTTGATTCAAAATTGGCTCTCAACATCGATATGTTTTGGTCCAAGAAATTGTGGCCTCCCAACACAGCTCAGATTTAAATCACTTGTACTACTACGTATGGAGCGTAGTTGAAAGGGTCACAAACAAGTCTCGGCATGTGACATCATTAAGGACCACTATTGAGACAGCATTTGTCGGCATAGACAGCGCTACATTACAACGTGCGTGCCAACACTTCAGACCGAGAATAGAAGTCATCATTCAAGCTAATGGGGGATATATCGAATAATTGTGCTCTATAGAGATCCCTCAAGTGCTATGTAAAAGGATTTTTTGTAATATTTAATTTTTCATTAAAAACATTTTGTTTAAGGAATTGTTCGATTTGTCCGGATTTTGGTAACACACCCTGTATATGTATGAGGCATTTTATCCCAAGTCTGCCACCCATGAACTTTTGGATTTTTAATTTGGCTGAAATTTTGATATACTCGTATTATAGTACTCATCGGAAGAAGCTGTCATGATTTTTTCCAAATTTTTTTATACAGTCATGAAATATGAATTTTGAAAAAAATAATTTCTGTAATAATAAATTATTACTATAGAAAAAATAACCAAGAAAAAATGAAAGATCTTTTCTAGGTTATAAGTGCAATGCTTATAGAAATGAAATGCAGATAGTTGATTCTGCATTTTATGTTGTGAGTTTGTTCTGAAAATATATGACAAACGTACACGAGATATATTGCAACAATAATTTAGAGACGTCTTGGGTACAATCAATATGATAAGTATATTCAGCATCAGAATCGAAATTTAGTTATTATATTTGATATATCTTGACAATATACAAAGAAATAATATTTTACTGAGACATCACATTAACGTTTCTGGTTTATTCGGTATCACAGTACATTCAGTATGAATACTGAATGTTAGCATGGTATCATGTGCTGTCTGGGAAGGTAATGAATCGATCTGGCCAGTATTTTTACTCTCCGGTCGGTTGTCGATACATGTATTGTATCTTACCGACTACCAGTCTTGGCCGATAAGATCCGACTAAATTTGAAAAAAATCGTACAAATAGTTATGACAATTCTATGCAGTAATATATATATGAAACGTATTTTTAGCATTATGAATAATTTATGAACAGATGATCGTAACTGACTGTCTATGGTCAAAGCAGAAATTTGCTTTTTATAAATATTAAAAAAATATATTCAGAATTCTATGTTGCATATATTGGTCATCTTACATTGATGGCTGCCACAAAATTGGACAAAAAATATGATTTTAAATAAAAAAATTGGATTAAGTATTTCAGCTACGTTTATTATTAATGCTAATATTTTAATAAATAAAGTTTATAATTTTTTTCACTTAAGTACACATAGTTTTATTTTGAATTATACACTTCCAAAATCGTTTAAATAAGGGTTGCGGTTATGGCCGGTAAAAACTGGTAATTTTATATAATCTGAGTGAAAATATACGGTAACTTTGAATTTCAACTGGAATTGGCAACTCTGGAGGAAGCTAAACTTAACAATTACCTTATTGAATAATGCAGGTTTATTTAAATGATTAAATTTGTTTTGTTAGACCAATTGCTGGATTTGGTCTTCAAATACCTTCAACTCATATTCAAGGTTGCTATTATTAGATCACTAATAACATGAACATAAAACCCATTTTACAATTGCGTAAGCGTGGTCGTTGTCAAATACGAGAAGAATATTAGACTGTGATTGGACAATTCTTACAACTATAACCACTTACAACTACATTTACGCAATTAGAGATTAGGCTTAAGTTTTATTTGAGCTAGGTAAGAAAAATTGTACCTATCACATTTTATGTTAATCGTAAAAAAAATTTTTCGGACATTAATTTTAAAATCGTTGAAATCACTTCTTACTGTCCCGCGATCGATTTTATCAATCGGTATCTATATATGTTTCTTTATACATTCTCGAAAGATTTATCATCATTAAAATAAAATTATGTTGCATAATTAAGATATCTAATAAAAAAGAAAATAGAAAGTAAAATATCATTCTCTCCTTAATCCAAATTACCTAATATTGATAATATCTTATTTTTAAAGATGTTTAAAGGAAGCTTTGAAATAAAAGCTTAGTTTTTGAACATATTTTGTGTCATACAAACTTTATGGAAGCATTTATCGACAAATTGTGTAACGTTAATATTCCTTCTGTTCAAAAAGTACCCGGAATTTCTCATTTGATGAAAGACACGTGTTAGTGACATATCAAAATGTTGCTTCTATTTGCTAAGTTAATACAACATTGTTCTCGACATTGATGCAAAATTTGAGCGCTATCTGATTTAGTTTTGTTTACGGTAACTGTTTATAAAGGGTGTCCCAAAATTAACGCAAGATTTGAATTTGCCGCCATTTGTGCAGTAAAGTGTTGGCAACCCAAAAAAAAAAAATTTAACAGCTGACAGTTTAGGGTTAGTGAAAATGGAGCATTACACGATAGAACAACGTGTGTTCATTATTTAACAAATAGATGCTGATTTTTCGAGCAAAATCATCCTAAGCGATAAAGCACATTTTCACCTTGATAGCTTTGTTAATCGCCAAAATTGCCGCTTTTGGGGTACGGAGAACCCACATGTGATTGTCGAAAAACAAATGCATCCACAACGTGTCACTGTTTGGTGTGGATTTTGGGCTGGAGGCATCATTGGACCATACTTTTTTGAAAATGAGGCTGGTCAAGCAGTGACTGTTACTGGTGCTCGATATCGCTACATGATAACACAGTTCTTTCTGCCGAAATTGGATGATATTGATGTGGCCAATATGTGGTTTCAACAAGACGGTGCCACATGCCATACAGCTCGTGAAACAATTCAGTTACTGCATGAGACGTTTCCAGGTCGTGTACTCTCTCGTTTAGGTGATCAGAATTGGCCCCCTAGATCGTGTGATTTAACACCATTAGATTTCTTTTTATGGGGTTATTTGAAATCACAGGTCTATGTCAACAAGCCCACAACCACCCGTGCATTAAAGGAGGAGATTCAACGCTGCATCAACGTAATTCAGCTACATTTATGCAAAATGGTCATGGAAAATTTCGACAAACGAGTGCATATGTGCATGCAAAACCGTGGAGGCCATTTGCCCGATGTGTTATTCCACAAATAACCCTATCCTATGTACTTTATGATTCAATAAAAAAATAACAATTAAAAGACTAAAAACTGTGTTTTCTATTTAATTCAAATCTTGAGTTAATTTTGGGACACCCTTTATCAGTCTATCTTAGGTGCGTTCGTCAGATTTTATAATGGAAAGAAGTTGAGCAAAGAGTGTGTTTGAAATTTTGTGTTGCTAACGAAATTTCTTGTACCAATGCATTAAGAATGTTACAAAAAAAGTCTACACCTTTCTCTCATGAAAATATAAGTGTATGAGTGGTATAAATTGTTTAAAGATGGCCGTAAAGTCACAGAAGATTTGTCGCGTTCTGGGCGTCTGTCGACATCAAATTATCGACGGACGAAAACGTCAATAAAGTGAAGAAAATTGTGCTCGCAATCATCGTGTGAGTGAAAGAGAGACTGTTTCAACCCTTAGTATCTCTAGTGGTTCGGTTCATCACATTTTTAGAAAGACAATATGTAGATTTTGCATCACAATAATGCGCCATTGCACACATCGTCTCTTGAATGCGACTTTTTGATCAAACATTGCCCATGCACCGTATTTACTAGACATAGCATCGTGTGACTTTTTTTTTGTTTTCAAGAAACAAAACTGTCACTACGAAGCGTTTTGATTCGATTGATTCCATAAAAGAAAAATCGATGAAGGAGCTGAAGGCCATACCTTCAGGAGCCTATGAACAATGCTATAAAGAGTAGATTAATCGCTGAAATACTCGTATATGTAGGGTTACTCCGATATATATGCCGTACCTAACAAAAACTTAATTTATTAAGTATTATTTACTATTTTAAGATAAATAAACTATATAGTAAAAACTTTGTATTACTACTATGAAAAAAATATCAGAAATTTGAAATACTTATTTTTCGTATTAAAAAAAGAATTTTTTGAAGACTTATATTTTTGTGGCGTATATCCTATAAAGGTGGGATACATGGCTACTCATAAGGGGAGGGGGAAGGGGTATGTATGGCTCATGAAAAAATTTACAAATAATGTTATAAATAAGATGTAAACTGACATGATAACTTAGAAAATATATTTACAAAGTTTTATTAAGGAATAAGAATGAGAAATATATATCAAGTAATAGATATTAATTACAATCTTCCTACATATATTACAAGTTTATTATTACATGAGATACATATTTCGTATAATGTATTTATTGCATTTAGTATACTGAATCTAATCTGTGCACTTTGTATGCTTTGGGCATAAATCCCGCTCGCTAAAAATACTGTATATCCCAAACAGGTGGGATACGAGACAACAAACTAAACAAAGAATAGAAGAGCAAAGCATTTATATTTTGCTACACTATGCTAATATGCTTTACTATTCCTCTACACTTATGTATCACAAAATAACTACTAAGTCTTTTCTAATCTGACAGTAATTATTTTATGTAGATTATAATTTATGATGGTGCTACTTATTATAGTGAGAAATCGATTCAACTCACAATATTTCATTAATATTATATTAACAGTAAGAAATTGAAGTCATAACACAATACTAATATAACGTAAAGGCATGCAACAGAAGTTGCGAGAAAATTACCCCCACTTCTTCTACTTTTTCTGACTTCTGCGACGTAAATCCCAGCGCGGCGTATTTGCCGGAGTTACCCTATAGCCTCAAATGATGATTATTTTAAAGGAGATAAAATAAATTATCTTAAAATTTAAAATTTTGCGTTTTATTTAAAAATTCTGAGTACTTTTTGAACAAAGGATATGAATGCATTTGTGTGGATTTTTATATTGCGTAAAATTTTTATCGTATAATCATCATATAATTACCATATTTGCCCGAATATCCCCACTGAGATGCTTTGGATGCTTGCAAACCTGTAATTATACAATACTCTTAGTCGTTTCTTTGCGCTAAAAAGTGTTTAATTTTCAATTAATATTTATATAGAAATAAACTTTTAAGTATATTTTAAAATTATCCATGAATAAAATGCACAACAATTAAGCATCATTAACCGTCCCAACAAATCGTTAAAACAATTAATTGAATTAAGTTTGTCAACATATAAATGAACCTATTACATAAAGAAAATAATTTTTACATCTTATTATAAACGTTAAATACCCAAAAAACATGATAATACATTAAACGTTCATTAAACGTAAAATAGATATAAAAATAGTATAAGAATAAAAGTAGTATAGCAGATAAATTTGAATTTTTACCATTTTTATGCAATCGTATAATACATGATAATGATATCCATTTTTATTATGTTTCCATAATACAAAACAGACTTTATACGTTAAAAATCAATATACAAAAAGAGAGAGAAAGTTTAATTTTAAGAGTGTATTTACATTAATACATATATATATTTATATAATGGAAAAAACTGTTTATTGAAAACATATATAATTTATGAAAGAGATCTCATTTTTAAACGTTTATAAAATATTATTGTACAAATAATATAATCTGTGTTTTTAAAATGTCGATAAATGGTTATACAAATAACTTACACGCTTTTATAGCTAAAATATAATACAATTAATAAACATATTTTATATTAAATCCATATTGAGTTCAATAGAGGTACGTTTTCAACATTTATAATAATTAAAAATACTCCCTTTCATAAATGTATCAAGATATCGCGTTATACAACTATTTATAATATACTTCTATGATATTTTGACTATTTTGAATATTTAATGATTTTATATATTGCCCAATACATATATGTTGGTATACTATGGTATATTAATGTAAGTGTATAAAATTGATATTGGCATATGACATACGATATACGTTAAAAAATAATTCATAAAACATCAGAATTTTATCTACTTTTATAATATGTATAAAAATAATATAATATTCTAATTAAATACATATTTTTAATATGTTTATAATTTGCAAAAAAAATTTCTTTAAATAATTTATTAAAAATTATTAACATATATTTTAGTGATATATCATATCTGAATTTAATATCTCGATATGGTATGATATATTATCTAAATGATAATATATCGTTTAAATATGTTAATAAAAGAGAGAGAGAGAGAGAGAGAGAGAGAGAGAGAGAGAGAGAGAGAGATTGAGCGCATATTCCCAATAAGAACGAAAAGGTATGATATTCATATGTAGTACGTAGATATGTTTACGGAATTAACATAGTATAAAGTAGTACATTAAATAGTATATGACTTGATTATAACATAAATAGACAATAAATAACACATCTATAAGTTTAAGAAATGGCATAGCTCGTAAGACAGAAGTTTCATGATCCAGAGATTCCAGGTTCGAATCCTATTAAGATATATTCCAATAAAAAAACATGATAGTATATCATACGTTTAAATAAGATATTTAAATGTAATAGTTTCAATGTATATCAGTTTAATGTATATCAGTTAATATATAGTTTTAATTGCGATAATATAGCGTTTACCAAATATGATTTGAATCAGTTGAAGAATAATGTTAAGAAACCTAATATTATATATTTAGTATATATGACAATATGTATATACTAAATGTTTATCAGCCAGACTTTACAACTAGAATTATACGGAATTGGTATATTTTTAATCTACTGTATTTAGACATCCCTGAATACCTGATTGAAACCTGATTGATATAATATACCAATCTTGGGTTTTATTGGATAGTATTAAAGGTAACATTTACATTGTTACTTTAAAACAATCTTATTTCAGGATGTTTAGAATGATTTTATGATGGTTAATTATTTTACATTTTATTTACACATGATTTTAAATGATACTTTTAAACATTTATTCCTATACAGCTACTCATTAAAAAGTGAATACTTTTTTCATGGAATATTTATTGGAATATTTCCAGATTCTTAAGGAGGTTCGACTATTACTTTGAAATCAAAAGTGCGACTGAAAATCACTTACAGCGATTCCGAATATGCAATATTAGTGTAATGAATTGTAGATATTATTTATGTGCTCTATATTCTTAATAAATTATTAATGTATAGAATATTTTAACAAATGTATGAGACTGTCGGCGGCTTAGGAGTCGTTGTCAGCCTTTTAATGTCGAGTGTATACTTGGCAATGTTATACTTCGCGACGAGCAGTGACTGGCTATAGCGAACGATAATATAATTTAGTATTTCGTAATTTTCCATTTAGTAATTTTGTCATTTTCAACTGTATGCAGTACTTATCTATATCATATAAAAAAATTAACTCTAAGTTGGTTTTCGTTTGACAGTCGAACCTCCTTTCCAAACAATGCAAAGTCTAAAATTGTGATACAAGACGTCTTTAAGTCTTTAAAACGCAAAAAACGTCTTATAATTTTAGACATTTTTTGTTGTCTGTTAAGGATAAAAATTTTATATTATTTAGTTACGCTATTAATATATAAATAATTATACTAATGTTATATTGTACACAAATTATAAATTTTAATTAAATTAAAAAGAAATAAAATAAGTTTGCTTGAAAGCATATTATAATGCCAATATTAGTCTCCAAGTAGTATTATTATCGATCACGCACTAAATGATTATAATTGGCATCGTAATTATGATTGGTATCGAAATTAAATTTACGCAAATTGATAGATATATAATGAGATAATACATTACTATTATAGTAATTATAGTAATTTCTATAATTAACAGTAAGTTTTCATATAATTATTTCAATTTGTTTCAATCTGATTGCTTAGTTTCAGTATTACATGCAAATTCGTTCAAAAGGCAAATTCGTTCAAGAGGCAAATTGCGGAGAAACATAAGTACTACATATAATACTTGCGATCTAAAGCCGGCGCTGACCTCGTGCTCCTAGTATCAATTTGACGAGTTCGCACGAACTGTTCATAAAATATAATTATTTTCACGTCATCGCCACGCGAATAGTTCGCCATATTGCGAGCGTGTCCGACCCATTGGGCCTAATAAGTAATTGAACGCGCACGACAGGAAACAGAATTGACCTCATTGACCGCTCGGACTATGATGAATTTATTCGCACTTATTTTTAATCCCATTATCATCGCGACTGGAAAAAAGTGACATGGTGAGAGTAAAGCGATCATTTCATGAAAGTCTTACATACTGCCGACAATTAGACTACAATCGGCGAATAAACGCCGGCGCTTTCTAGATCAGCGTATCGGCCGCAACAACGGCCAAATCATTCAAACGACCCGCAGATTTTAATGAGCATAATGCACACTTCCGCTACAGAGATAGGGCGTAAGTCCGGTTGATCGGTATGTGAGTTTTATTCATAGTTAAGAATACTTAAGATTGTTCGATACTATCGACACATCAGAATTTTATCTACGATTTTCTTATTGAAACTTTGTGCATCAATATTTTGATAAATTCTATTGTAATGTTTAAAGAATTTGTCTCTTCTTTTCCCTGATATGAAACTATTATTTAATTTGGAAATACAATATATAATTTCACAATCTCAAATTTTAAGATTAAAAAACTATTTCTAATAAGAATATTTATTAAGAAATATTTTTTTATAATTTACTGTTAAAATTTTTAAATAAATATTGTATTTTTTACATATAATTAAATCAAGCAGTGCTCTAAAAAAATTAAGTGATGATTAGGTGATGATTTTTGAAAATAAATACATATACATATATTAGATAAAAGAATACAATATTAATATCTTGCAATTGCGCAGTGAGAAAACGTACAGAATAGAAGTAGTAAGTTTAACTCTTAATTATAAAATAAACGTATAGATTTATAAAATATTTTTGTCAAAAAGAAATAATTAAAAAAAAAAAAGATTATGAAGCTCTTTCGATACTGTTTAAAATAGTACAAAATATTGCACAAACAAAATTTAAAATAAATAATTGCAAGTAAATATATCAATATTTAAACAGTTGTTGGCAAAAGAGTAAAATGTACTACATATTATAAATTGATAACACGATCGATAAAACGATTGTGAAAATCGTCAAAAAGATAGAATGATAAATTATTCGTTAAAATAATAAAATATTCGTTGGAATGATAAATTATCTAATCAAATATTTAGTATATTATATTCACAAATATTTCGGACATACCTCAATAACGATGAATTACAAAAAAACTGAGGTATCCACTTCTTTATCTCTTTCATCGTATCGATATTTTCTTGGAATAATTCATCAAGTAAAGTGACAAAAGAGCGGGAATCAACTATATCAATAGAAGAATCCTTACCTAGAAGAGCGATTAAGCAAAAGAGACGCATCGCAGGAAACCACCTGGGATGATCGTAATGGGTGACACACGAGCGCGATGACGACGAGTATACGACTGATGAACGCAACGCAAATCTAACTGGATAACCCCGAGATTACACTAGAAGCTATCGCATGAGATTAGCGTATACACAGGTTTGTCAAGTCATAGTGATCACAGTATGCAACGCGAACTATCAATGGACTGACCGACCGTTTGATTACTATTCGACAAAAACAAAACGGACGTCAAAACGAAACTAATTTCCATAGATCTTTTGAACGCTGAATATGAATATAACTTTCAAATTATTCCATCATATCACAATTTTGAGAAATTTACAGTTGCAAAAAGAAACTGTTTTCTTCTTTTTACATATTTGCTATATTATAACTATAATGTAACTAATATTCTCCAGTATATGCTGGAGAAGTTTTGTCAATGAAACAATGAAAATGAAGCTGTTGATAGAACATTCAATTCTCAAAAAGATTTTTTAGTATCAGCTATGTAAGCTAAATAAGATATAGCTAATAATTTATGGTTAAATATGAGGTTAATTGTGGAAAAATAAATCAGGTTATTAATTGACTATTTACCTAATAGCTTTCAATTATATTTAATTAAACATAATCCAGATAAACAAAAAAATTTAGTCGTATGTCATCTCTATTCTGAGTTTATTTCCACATGCGAAAAGCATATCCTTTTTAGAAAAAAGAAGGAATTTTTCTGTTCAAAAAAAAAAAATCTTTTGTGCCTGAAAATGAATTCTAAATTGATGATATAACAATTACATTATTTTTAAATTCTTTCTAAACTCTCTGTACTGGAGAGTTTTTTGAGCCGCCGAATCCGATGTCAAAATTGAATTAAAAATCATAAAAGACATTTATATTTTGTAGCAATCCGAATATTTTTCAAAATGTTAATCTGCTATATTGAATCCACCAATTTTAATTTGTCAATTTTGATATCACATTCGTATTCAATGGTTTAAAAAATTCTTAAGTTTAAATAAATATAATTAAAAACTATTTGTTAAATCATTGACATAATTTATAATTTTTCCATAATAAATTACGTATTTAACTATATATATCTTATTAAGCACAACCGACACTAATAGATTCTTTCGAAGGCTGAAAGTTCTAATAACGTACTTAATTAAAAAAAAAATATATATTAAATAATTTGTTATAATTAATTTTTTAATTATAATAAATCTTTCCCAATACATTATATATCGTAGTTGTAATATAATAAAATACATTAAAAAATACGTCAAATGAAATACGTAAAAATAGTCCTTTTTTGCAAATTTTTCAAATAAAATTATGACGTGATAAAATAATTTGGAAAACACATTCATATTCAGCATCCAAAACAGTATAATACTGTTACGTCGCGTCGCTATTGAGATTTTCTCTGGTTTTAAGGTTTCAATGCATTTAAGCAATTTATCCGGGGGTCGGAGATCAAGTTGTGCGGTTAAGAATTCACTAGGAAGTATTGGATAATTACTCGAGAGGATAATTTTGAACCCGGTGCCAAAAAGATTACGTAACTTATAGGCGAATCTGCGTGGATCGGCTTTTCGAATGTCTTTGTAGTTAGGAAACGTGAGATTGATTTCCAACCGTTTAAGGGAATATACACTTTTGCGGGGTGAGTCTTTCGAGTTGTTTTGATCTAATAACTGCACTAATTTTTGAAAATAGGGGAAAAGATCGTGGTTTGAAATGAGAACTGATTTTATTTAAAATCTCAATCTCCTCTCTCGCTGTTTTCGTCCGCCTTTAATTGGCATGGAGGTAGCACAAAGAAATTATCAATGTTTCGAAGAAGTGCCGTAAGACGGGGCTATTGGCAGCGACAGTCGTAACAGCCCTTCGAATATGAGACAATTATGAATACTCCGAGGAAGTGATATAAGACGAGGGCCACGCTATTGTGACAGTCACAACAACCCCTCGGATACTTATATATATATGTAGTTGAATGAGACGCAGAGCAGAGATTTAGGTTTCAGTAATACCGATTCGGTGTAGTATTTTCGTTTAATAAGAAAAACAAAATATGGAAAAGAAAAGAAAAAAAAACATACGAGTGAGTTTCTGACGAAGTGCGAGGATGGTTCTCACCTCGATTTCTAACTATGCTGGATAAGTTTCTACTTTTGCTCTTTTACACACCCTCTGCTTGTTCCTGCTTTCGACAGTTCTTTTTATATTTTGAAAATGAATATAGGAGTGTCCCTTCAGGACCAATCAATGTTCCTCAAGGTTTGATAGAACCTATACTTGCGCTTGTTTCCTTAAAATAAGGCAGCAAGGCTCCGCGTAAGCCCTACTCCCAGCTCTACAAGTTTAATCTTAATAGATAATAGTTAAGAGTTTTAATAATTTATAATAAAAATTCGATTTTATTTAACTAACATCCTTATAGAAGGCGAAGTAATGATATATTCTAAATTTTAAATTGGTTTTAATTTTATGGAGAAAAAGAAAAAAAAGAAAAGAAAGAAAAAAAATAAAAATATTTATCCTCGCATTTGGGAAAGTCTTAATATAATATATACTATTATTTAATATATAATGCTACTTAATATATAATACCAATTAATATATAATACTACTTAATTATTAAGCATATATGCTAGTGTTTAGTTATTTTAGAAAAAAGACCTTCAAAAGAAAAGGGAAGATTGTAGAATAGATTCTTTATCTGTGTTACGTATAAGGGTATACAAACGTGAGCTATCTGTTGGTTTGAATGTTTAAATAAATTAACTAAATATGTGCTGCTATAAAAGGGAAAAGAATTTTACAATATAAAAGGTATGGTAAAGTTTCAAAATAAAGATAAAATAAGGACAAAATATCAAAACCAAGACGAAATACTAAACTAGAGCTAAGATTAAAGTAAGGTATAAATCGTATATTTATAATAAAGAAAGAGAGAATTTTATCGGGATGTAACAATACGAAGAATGATTGTTTTGATTCGGTGTTTAAAAAAAAGTCATTTTTTGTCGAACAATGTTACCAGCGCATTGTATAATATGATATTGTAAAGAGAAACAAATGCGTATTTTTCTTCCTCCTATCAACATGTATACTATTTTTGTGTAAATATAGAGTACATTTATCTGTATTAAACGATTGCGATTTGAGCGAATGATGCAGAGTGATTCATGCAATTTACATTGACTGATTGAATGAATACACTTTTATATATCAATTATTGCCAAGGATAATGCATTTTTTAAGAAAAATTAAAATGATGGAATTAAAGGTAACAGATTTCTATTTTTATTTTTTTTTAATCATTGCGACTGAGACTTCTTACAAGTTTTTTTCTCCAAAATTATGTATTTGTTTTATGTTAAATGCAAGAAGTAATATCAGGCTGCTCTTCGTCCTGATGAAGTGGACTGCAAGGTTCACGAAACGTTGGCATTTCAAGCATGGATCTGGACACGGAGGAAACCCGCGAAACGCATAACTTTTATATACAATAGAATACACTCGTGGAAGCTTCAGGAATATAATGCAAGAAGTGTAATAAAACACATTAAAATGATTTTTTTAATTTGATGAGTAATTAATATTTATAACATAATTAAAATATGTATTATAAAATGCAAACAAGAAAAATGCATTTCCGTTGCCGATGTAAAGTAACGCCGTCATCGCGTGGTAGCCAGAGCGATCAACTGAGTAAATTTAAATTCTCGAACAAAGCGTGGTCCAAATCTTAAATTTAGACACGCGGTTTATGCGTTCATCAACCGATAGACCAAAGTAGATGAGCAGGTAAGTATAAGCGCAGCTACCGTCATTATTATATTGTACTTTATGTTCAAAATAAGTTATTATTAGTCGCTCATTCATAAGCATTCTCGGAAACGTCTATCTAATAAAAAAAAGTCTGATGAAATGAAACTGATATAAGTATAAGTTACTGATAAGGTATAAGTACAATATATTTCTTTATTTCGAAAAAAGATAATAAAGAAATAAATTTATAAACAAGCTAGTTTCTATTGATTTTTAAAATAATTAAGAATTTTCAGTCTAAAATAAATATTACAATTAAAAGTACAAGAAACAAGAAATCATTCTAGTGACTTAATATTATATGTAAAAGTTTTATAAGAACGTTTTTTTAGATATTTAGAGAACACTAAAAAAAAAATATTCTGCTGATAAGCGGGGAATTCCTCTTAGCATTTACTTTAAGCAAAAAACCTTGCTTTAATCTTACGTTAATCAGATGCGTGTATTTATAATACGTATTTATCTATAATAATGAGGACATGAGCTATAAACATGAGCTATAATCAAAAATAAATTTCTCTAAAAAAATTCTATTACAATAACTCAAATAGTCTTTTGAAATAAGAGGATATACAAAATACTAGCGGCACATTTATTTGTTAGAAGAAGTCATTTACATGCTATCGTAGTACGCGTGCATGTCAATACATGTAAGACATTCTTTTAGTATTGAAAGGATTACAATCCTAAATCCAGTACTTTATGATTATACAAAATTCCATTACTTTGTAGAGTATCTTCTTGAGATCATATATAAATAAAAAATTCTCTGACATTAACACGAACCGCTAAATGGCAGAATTTTTTTTTGGGTGAAACAAAGTAAAAACAAAAAAATAGAAAAATCAAATAAAATATTTAATTTTTGAGAGCAATAAGAAATAGTATAAACATAAAATCTAATAAATAACTTGAAAATTTAAACAAGATTTTGTGCTTTAAAACTAATAATTAATTTTTGCATTAATCTTTCTTTTTTCTTCTTACAAAAGGAAATAATAATTTAATTACTTTTATTCATTTATTCTATTCTATACTTTTTCTTCTTAATTATTTAATATTTGAAATATTGCACGTTAATTTTCGAGTTTAAAAGTTAACTGTCTTTTACTGTCATAGTGTTTTTCTAAATATCAATAATAACCAAAACATAAAGGAATGACACTTCATCAAAAAATAGCAAAATATTTTACCTGTGTAAAGCAACATTAATGTAACTATCAACGATTAACCTGAACCCATTTTTACATCCACCTG